TGCTGGCAGTAAAAAACAGAATTGCACCAAAATTTCAGCCGAAAATAGAAATATGGGCAAATTGCCCATATTACCAAAAGCACCGAAAACGCGGTGCATCCCTAGCTTCTCTTCTACCCTCTGCGTGCCGGTCTGTGTCCCCTCCAAACCCCGCTGCTCACCCCTGACTGCATCAGTAGAGGCAGCAGGGATTGGAGGGGACACAGAGCTGATCGAGCTGCCGGCGCCCAGCGGGGAGGAGCGTAAAGCCTGTGACTACCTACTGGCTGCTCTCAGCTCCTTGCTTTGCTCCGCACTGCTTTGCTTAAAGCCTGCGACACACTGCACGCAAAGCCATGTGGCACAAAGCTGTCAGGCACAGACATTCGCATGCAGTGTGTCAGCTGAACGAGGCCAGATGAAAGACAGCATCTTAAGCCAACCGAATGGACTTTGCATCCTGACGCGCAGGCTTATACGCGTGAGCCGATTAGCCGAAGATGAAATTTTGCATCTCGGCACGCTCAGCTATGCAGGCTCTTGCAAGCTGATGCGCCAGAGTGAAAGTGACATGACACACTGCACGAAGGTCCGAGCACCACCACTCCGTGTTGCTTCGCGCGCAGTGTGTCGCAATATTTAGGAGGCAGAGCGGGATGGTGCGGGGAGGAGATGAGAGGTCGGCCTTCTGTGACAGGCACAGCAGTCAGGATGGAGAGCAGAGAATAAACACTCCGTGATCAGTATTGATCACTACTGGTCGCTGAGTGTTTGTAAATAACGGAGGACATAGTATTTACTTACTGTGTCCCCAATTATGAATGAATAGGAAGTGCTCCTTCCTGTTTATTCATGATTGTGAACATAGTAACGGATACTATTTACACGGAGTAGCGACACAGAAAAATCTGCATCTGAGGTCAGTAAATTTGGGCGTGTATAAATGTGAATGCTGTACAGATGTTTACATTTTAAATTGTATGGATCGGAACACAGTGCAAGTTTACTGATCTTTATGGACTGCAGCCAGGTTCAGATCCGTAAAAAACAATGTACTGATACAAATGCTGCATTTTTACAGCTAGAGAAGGGCTCAAAAAATGCTGCGCTTAAATCTGTACAGCGTATAGTTTTTTTCTATCTGAATGCAACAGTATTACATTGTGTGGGCCCGTGTACACAGCTCTGTTGTGTTCAGTAATCTTAAACTGCGTTGAGCGGCAAACAATCAAAGTAGAGATTTATGCATCTGAGTCCATCATTTCCACGCATGCACATTCCGAGATTAAAACCTGAGCTTGAGAAGTGGAAGAATTTTATGGATGGCAATATTTTAAGGCCATTTTTATGGGTCTAACACATGTAAACAGATGCACTTTACAACCACTACATGTGTTTTTGGGTGGAGTGGGGTGGGGGGGTTGCACAGGATCTTGATGACAGAAAGATACTGTGTAGAGATCAGTAGTCTATTAAATGCATTTTCATGGGAAGCCCGAGTAGTGTAATAAACAGCTGGATCTCTGCACCCAGAGGCCACATGTGATGTGTAGAGCCCGTCTGTACAAATCAATGACATACTGCAGCGGAATGCTGGTAAACGTTGCTCTGAATGTGTAGATCCGTACAAGTTCAGATGCACGCTCCTGGACACAGACAGTCTGGGATGAATACCTGTACAAAAGTATACACTCACAGCAGAATTTACCAATGACAAGCCACAGCCTATCATTGACAAGTACAGGCAGGCTGGGCTGTACCTGTGGCTTCCGGGTGCAGAGATCCATCTTTTTTTTTTTCAGTACACCTGTGTGAATGAGTCCCAAGTGTCACCATATACATAACAATCTAACCATACAATCAGCTTTAGCTATACCAAATCTATGTAATATAAGGATCTATCCAATCCATCTGAATTCAATCAGGCAGAACCTTACACTACAGTTGTTAGTAGGGATGCACCGAAATTTCCAAAAGTACCTTTTTTTGCCAAAAATGCAGTGCATCTCTAGTTTCTCTCTTCCCTGCAGGGCTCTGCTCTGTTTCCCTCAAACAAAGAGCAGTGCCCAGTGGAGGCCGGGCAGGAGTGCACTGTAAGCGGCGTCACCGGAGGCCGAGCTCTCCTCCCGCCTTGCCCTGCTCGGCCTCCCATGACAACAAATCAGAATGGTTGAGTGGTGCGGGGGAGGAGACAGCTGTTAGCTGTCAGATGGAGGCTGAGCTGGCAGTGCGGGGAGGAGACAACTGTCACAGGAGGCTGAACTCTCCTCCCCACACCGCCTGCGCAGCCATCTGTGACAGGCAGGGAAGTCAGGATATAGAGCGGTACACAAGCACTCAGCCATCAGTACTGATGGCTGAGTGCTTGTAAATAATTGAGGACATAGTATGCTTACTGTGTCCCCAGTAATGAATGAACAAGAAGTGCTCTACATCACTTCCTGTTCATTCATGATTGTGGACACAGTAACGGATACGATCTCCTCAGTTTATGAATAGTCAGGAGCATTCAGTACAGAAGATTCATGTTCATTCATAACCGGGGCTGCAGAAAAAGATTTAGGACTGTGTCTTCAATCTCTTGTTCTATTTTAACAGGGAAATATCATGACTCTGTTTGGACCCCTAATATTTCCCCAGAGCCCCCAACGGTAAAGTAAAAATAAACAAATAAAATGACAATTATTTTAAAAAGGTTAGAAAAAAATATATTTTCCGTTTCGGCCTGACAAATTGTTTTGATTTTCGCTTTCGGTCGGAAAATTCTAGTTCAGTGCACCTTCTAGTGCAGGGGCGCCCACTATTTTTCGTCTGGAGATCTACTTTTCAAATGACGAGCTCATTGAGATCTACCAACGAAAAAACGCCTGCATTCAGGGGCGGGAGGGGGCGTAGGCTGTGCAGGCAGGCCCCTCGCCCACAGTGCGATCGCCTGCATTAGTGCCTGTGTTCCAGTCCAGTGCGATCCACAAAAATTCTGCGAGCACTATTTTTGCAGATCGCACTGGACCGGAATGCAGGCACTAATGTGCCTGCGTTCCGAGTGCGGGCGATCGCAATGTGGGCGATGCCATTGACTTCAATACAGCTCCACACCCCCTCCCGCACCTGAACGCAGGGAGTCGGCCGGCTTACATTCCAGTGCGCCCTACAGGTCCCGGCGTCCTGTCCTCCCGTGGTGCTCGTGTGGCCGACGTTGCACATGGGGTGTCCTGCACCTTTCCATCTGCAGCGTCTGACACATTCAGCCGGCAGCCGCACGAGCACCACGGGAGCATAGCCGTAGCCAGCTCCTTTTGCGCCTGAGGCAAGGAAAAAAAACAAAGTTTTTTAAATTTATTTTTTACTATTTTTTATTTTATTTTCATTATTTATTTTTATTTATTTTAAATTTTCATAATTTTTTTTTTTTTTTTAACTCTTGGGGGGGCTTCGGGGAAATATTAGGGGTCTAAAAAGCCCCCTGATATTTCCCTTTTAAAATAGAAAAAGAAATTGAGGACACAAAGTCCTCAATCTCTTTTTCTGCAGCCTCTATTCTAAATGAATGGAAAGTACAGAGGCTTCCCATTCATTAAGAAAATATTTTACTATCAAGCTGTTTCTGAATGGGGAGGAGCCTCTGTACAGAGTGCTTCTCCCCATTGAGAAACTCATGAATGAACAGGACGTGATGTAAATCACATCCTGTTCATTCATTTATAACTGGGGACACATAGTACTATGTGTCCCCAGTTATTTACAAACACTGGAGTGATCAGCCGATCGCTCCTGTGTTTGTCCTACACAGAGGATTGGTACATATTACTGACATGTACCGATCCTCTGCCGCTCGTCCACGCACAGGGGGGCTGCAACTTCTCTGGATCCCCCTGCTCTCCCGGGCAGACGCAGCGGTGGGATACCACGAGCCGGGGGGGGCGGAGCCGCTGTGACAGAACGGACGAGCAGTGAGGGGAGAGAGAGGCGCCGGCTGTCAGATCCTGGCCGAGCGTCTCTCTCTCTCCTCACTGCTCTGCATTAGTTAGTGACAGCGGCTCCGTCCTCCGCCCTCCCCCGCCGCCGGTTCCTTCACTTCTTCTCGGATGCCCGCTGGGGAGAACAGCGGGGATCCAGAGAAGCGGCGGGAGGAGAGGACATGGCGATCTACCAGTGATCGCTACGCGATCGACTGGTAGATCGCGATCGACCTTGTGGGCACCCCTGTTCTAGTGGTATGCTCTAAAGGAGATTGTACAATCAGAGTGTAATGTGTGATGTGCTTAGGTTGTTATGACAGTGAAATGTGCAATATGAACTTTTTGCACTGGATCTGGGAAGCGTATGGACCGCACAGTGGCCGTATGGGAGCAGCGTATGGACCGCAGTGGCCGTATCGGAGCAGCGTATGAACCGCGCAGTGGTCGTATGGGAGCAGCGTATGAACCGCGCAGTGGTCGTATGGGAGCAGCGTATGGACCGCACAGTGGCCGCATGGGAGCAGCGTATGGACTGTACAGTGACTATTTATGAGCAGTGTATGAACTGTACAGTGACCACAAGAGCAGTGTATGAACTGTACAGTGACCACAAGAGCAGTGCGCGAACTGTACAGTGACCACAAGAGCAGTGCGCAGACTGTACAGTGACCACAAGAGCAGTGCGCAGACTGTACAGTGACCACAAGAGCAGTGCGCAGACTGTACAGTGACCACAAGAGCAGTGCGCAGACTGTAAACATAAGAGCAGTGCACAGACTGTACAGTGACCATAAGAGCAGTGCACAGACTGTACAGTGACCATATAGGATCAGTGTATGGACTGTACAGTGACCATATAGGATCAGTGTATGGACTGTACAGTGACCATATAGGATCAGTGTATGGACTGTACAGTGACCATATAGGATCAGTGTATGGACTGTACAGTGACCATATAGGATCAGTGTATGGACTGTACAGTGACCATATAGGATCAGTGTATGGACTGTGCCTCATATGAACAGTCCCCACTCTAGAGAAGTGACAGCTGTGTCCTCTCACCTGCATAGAAGCGGATGAGGCAGCCGATCTCGGGCTCCATGCCCTCCTCCTGTACCCGGCACAGATCCCGGAAGCCCAGCTGGAAGAGGTAATCGTTCTGGACATGGAGGGGTCTCTCATGCGGCTCCAGTCTGCGGCTGCTCTCCCCATGTAGTTGTACGTACAGAGATCCGGGGGTCTGGACGTCGTGCAGAGGCCGGGCAGGGACAGTGACAGCCCGGGCAGGCGGCGGCTCCGCACTCAGTTCCTCCACAGAGGAGGAGGAAGATGAAGAAGAGGAAGCGGCTCCGCATTGGAAGATCTCCAGTCCCTGGCAGACGGCCGGGCTGTCACCGTGTTCCTCCTCGGTGTTTCCCCAATCCTCAGCAGCAGAGCCGAGTTGGCGTTGGACGCCGCCGCTGTCGAGGTGTGGGAGGCAGCAGGGGAAAGCGAGAGCTCGACCGGCGATTGGGTGCCATCAGTTGCCGCCGGGCGCCTCTTCTCATCCCGGGTTGCTGCGGGCTGCTGTGAGGGCGATGAGGCGGGAGCCCCTGACGCTTGCACAGAAATCATTTCTGCCTTCTATGCCCGAATCCCGAGCATCCCACGAGAGAACGCGGAGCCCCGAGCACTCCACGGGGAGGGTGGGCCGATTCTAGGAAGCCCCGGCTCTGCCCCCCGCCATCATGGAGGTGATGTTGATAATCTAGCGCTCCCCTCCTAAATTGCTCGAGCTAGGCAGCCCCGCCGCTCCATACACGAGGGGTGTGCCCGGCCAGCCTCATACATATTAACCAGCTGCGGGAGGCCGCGAGAGGGCTCATTAATATCTAGCCAAGGGACAGCTCGGAGGCTCCTGTCACTCTGACGTGCCTGTACGTCAAGCGCGTCGCGGTGCATGCCGGGATATGTAGTGTCCCTGTGGTATCCGCGGCTGGGGAATGTGTGAGGCGGGGCTCAGAACTGTCCCTGTCACATGGGATTGTCTGCGCTGCTGATTGGGCACATAGAAGACACGCGTTTTCGCTTTGGATTTCAAGGTGTTCAGTGCTGCGGCGTGTTTGTGGAGTCGTCACCTGCTTTTCAAAGGGGATGTAGGGTTTCCCCTTGAAGAGAAGGTGATGGAAGCAGATGAGCTTGATGTAAACGACTTTTCATTATGTGTCCGTGGTATAAAATCCTATGTATAAAGGGGGACAGGGAACTTGGGGCATATAGACGACCAACTGGCTCCTGTTATCAGAAAAATAACCAGGACTGACTGTAGGTCCTTGTGTGTTGCATTTGCTTTTCTTTGCCACGCATCGCCTATTGATTTGAATGGGTGACAAACGTGGGAAAGTAGCTCATGTAGCAGCTTCTGCTACAGTCGCATTGCATTTTTTCACCATGGCGTTTGTGTGCATGTAACACATCAATGTGTTTGGTAAAAACACATTTTCCTGGCTGCGTTTGGGGCGCCATGAACAAGTAATGGCCCCACAAACGCATTGCACGTTCTTGACTTGTTTCTGTGTACAGGCGTCAATGCACACGGAACACAAAGATGTGAACGACTTAGGGCTCATTCACATGAGATGCGTCTTCTGCATTCACTCGTCTGCTTTCTGGTGTCTGAATTCCCCCTTGTGCAGTTACAATGCTGGTCATACTTTGCTTTCAGGATTTCTGCACTGGAATTCCAGACACCAAATAGTTTTAAAGGCTGGCCCACCTCCTTCCTGCACATTCCTATTGGTCAGTAAGGCTGGCCATCAATCAATTGTTATTGCAGCACAATTGATTGGCTCCCTTTTTGATTCTGCCTATCACAGTCTTAAAGGAGAATTATGAGGTGAGTGATTTTCACTCAGCCCCATAATCTGAGCCGATCTGTGATAATTAAACTGTCACACGTCGGCTCAGTAGATCGGGAAGTGAGTGAACACATAGCGGCGCTCGCTCACTTCTCGATCTATCTCTACAGAGAGCCGTGACTGTCACTCACGGCTACCTGCAGGGATTCCCCCTTCCCCTGTCCGATCCTCCAGTGCTTGCTGGCGAAACGGACGGTGGAGGGGGCTTGCACACCTGGCTCTGCCTCTGGACAGGCAGAGCCAGCTGTCAATCCCGCAGCTGGGTGGATCTAGACAGTATTGTCGGGATTGGTCCCGGCTGCGGCGTCTCAGTATACCGTGAGCTATACTGAGCTTTGGGTCACAGGAGAACGCTAGTTTGTGTTCTCCCGTGACCCTTAGGAGAACTATGGGGAAAAGCCCTGACCCCATATTTCTCCTTTAAAGGTGAACTCTAGTCACAACATGTTCAGTTAAATATATTCCTCAATAGCCACAAAAGGATATAAATCCACTTGGTGTGCACTTACTGCCTCTGCAACCTCCGATATTACTTTGCAAAAGTTGCATTGACATTATCACTGTGCTGCCTTTGCAGAGAGCAGAGTTTTGGGAGGGACCCAGCAGGCTCCATCTACTACTGGGTGCCTGCAGAAGACTGCAGGAGAGGGTGGATACAAGACCACTCACTCTGCACATGGAGAGAGAGCAGCAGTGACTGGTCTGTATTACTGGAAGCTCCTGCACAGAGGTAAGGTTTCACACTGGATTACTGCACCGATCTGGAGGAAATACACAAAGCACACCAAGATTCAAGTAAGAATACACACACCTCTTATATATAGTAATTTATTAATTGCTTGTCTCGGAGTTCAGCTTTCATTCCGCTGCACGAGGACTACAGCACAAGAGGTTGATACAAAGTGAATGAAGTAAATTTACAGTTATCGTGTTTCAACTTACTGGGAAGATAATGCATGGAATACGATTGGTTGCTGTGGTCAATCTTTCTTAAAGCACAACTCCCGGCACAATAGCTAACTGTCCATCTGCTCTAAAGCCATCTGTCATCATCTGTACTGCCATGTTCACCCTGCATGCCAGTGGAAGTCCAGCTCCCGTACCACGGTACTGCCAGGCCCACTGAGGCTTTAAAATAGAATTAAAGCCAATTCTTTGTTTTTCTTTAATATAGTAAGGGAGAGTTATAACACCAGTCAGCATTTTTTCCATCTGTGTCCCATTGGGGAGATTTCCCTTCACTTTCTGTCTGGTAGCCACAACAGTCAGGGAGACGAAATCCCTCCAAAGAGCAGGAAATCCCTGGTGATCAGCAGAATCACTAAAACTAGTGTCTCCACTGGGAGATCTCCCATGTATTCCTGTTCTAATGACAACCAAAATTTGGATTTCTTTTTCCACTTATAACAAGCACAAACAGAGCTAGTGAATCTCCCTAATGGGGACAAAGACAGCAATAAAAACCATGGAGCGTTGTGGTGAATCACCTCCACTCCATACAGTGTGTGGACCTCTTCATTCTTTTTTTGTGGTGCTTACGGTGATAATACAGAGGGCGCCGTGTTTCTCCAAGACACAGAGTAGAAGATCACCACCACTCAGTGGCGTCACTAGGGGGGTGCAGCCCACACCCGGGTGACACCAAAATGACTGACAGTGATTTTGGTGTCTCCCCCTCTGAAAAGTCGGGTACTCGGTCATGAACCAAGAACCCGGCAGTTGCACGAGAGAGGAGGGGACCCGGCGGCATACTTTATCCCACCGGGTAAACGGCCCCTCCTCTCTCTGTAATGTGACGTGCATGATGATGGCGTGTGCGTCATGACGTCCCTGCCAGCACTCAACAGGTGAACTATTTTAGGTTTTATTGAAGTAACAACACGTCGGAAATGTGTCCTCAAACCAACATTTCGGGGCCATGCAGGGTCCCTTCTTCAGGGCGACATAGTTGTTGGAAATGTAACAGCATATACTGATATACTTGTGTACTTTGTCTTTTGAGCTGTGGATGGCGCTGTAGTGCATCCTGAGGCTTGAAAAAGAGGGCATCCCTCGAAACGCGTAGCCGTCTTCCCACTGAGAGCTTTCATCTCATGTACAGCTCTCCACCACTTTGGATTTACTTTTACTGCAAGGCTTCTGACAGCCCTGAGACACGAGCCCAACAGAATCTGTGAACACACGGCGCCCGGCGTCTCACAGCCGTTCGCGGCTCCTCCCTCTCTCTCTTTCCAAGCTGCCGCGGCTCGGCCTGGCCAGCTGAGTACGTGGGCTGCTCCTCTGCTCCACACTCCTTCCAGACCCGCCACCATGGTGATCTTCTACCTGACAGGCATTCTAATCCCTTTAACATTTAAGGGCTCATGCACATGGGAATGTCCCAGAGCATTTTTTTTTCATAAAGCAGAAAATACACCTGCTATTGCGACACCTGGGTGCTGCAGCTGCTGCACTTGTCTATAGCAATGTATGTCTGTACAGGCGCAAGTTTCTGAGCTCAAAACATTCTCATTAGGAAACTTACCTGTGTTCACATGCATGTGCAAAGTCCAGTAACAGTATTTACAGTATACACCCATGTTTTCTGTCCATACATTGCTATGAACAGGAAGCTGCAGCAGCTGGGGCTCCTGGGCGCCACAAATACAGACATTATACACTGTAGGAAAGCACACCTGTATTTGGTTTGAAACACACCCATGTGCACAAGTGTTATTAAAGTTATTAAAATATAACTACAATGTAACTATAAATTTGTTGTACTGGCCGAAAGATTGCTTTATGGACTGCTTGCTTGAGGAATCCTCTATGCAAATAATGATTAGCTCTAGGTAATTTACAACGATAGATTCTGTGGAGTAAGCGAGCTGGTTTGCATTTCTAAAGCGCATTTTTGTATCCAGAAAATGAATTATTAACATTTGCCACCTGAAAGGAGTAAACTAGAATTGCACATCATCTACGTTGGGAGATAGCTGCCACCCTGTGGATGAAAACATTGTTACAGTGGATATAGGACCACAATGCGGAATGAGGATTTCCACTTTTGTAGCCAAAATGGGGACAACACTTATTTGATGTGTTAGATGTTTCTCATTGACATAACATAGCTTAAAAAATAAGTACAATTAAATTGCTGCCAGCAAAAAAACATTCAGGTCAGAAAGAAAAGTTATCCACAATGTTTCTCATTGACATAACATAGCTTAAAAAATAAGTACAATTAAATTGCTGCCAGCAAAAAAAACATTCAGGTCAGAAAGAAAAGTTATCCACTGCATTGAATTTGACTCTGGAATGCAAGGGAGGTGGGGAGAGTAAGGTTTATGATAATGAACATAGTCTGTACTGTGCTGGCAGGTGCTATTATCAGTTGTAAACTAGATTTGGGCACTATGTGCCCTAACAAAGGGCTAAAGATCTAGAAGAATTGTATGTTAATGAGGGGGATCCAGTCTGTCCCTACTAGGGCAGCCGGAGTTTCCTGTTACTAAAATTAAGAGAGAGGCTCCAAAGGCCTGCTACTCAGAGACATCTAAGAAGGGAAGTAATTATTTTATATAAAAAATATTTTTAGGTATGCTGTGTAATTAGGAATATATAAGAAACGTATAGTGGGGTTTCTCAAACTTGACTGCAAAAGTGGTAATCCCCTTTAAAAATCCTCAATAGAAATAGATAAATACCTCAGATATTGGAGTTAAAGGTTACCCCAATTGTGGGAATTGTTTAGTGTTTCTAACCAGAATGAGCAAACCAAAAAGAAGAAAAGTTCAACAGAAGCACTGGATACAAATTACTTCCCTTTATTGAGACATTGGAAATGGTGTAGAATACCACAAATGCATAAAACACCCCAAAATGAAATTTAAAATAATTAACAACAACCACCACACAGTCCTGCATTCATCAGTCATGCCAGATGGTACCGGTACTAGGCAGCGGTGATAATTGCTGGCGGCAATATATAGAACAAGGTGCATCAATAACCGTTCTGTATGGAAGCGAGGTAACAAGGTCCCCAGCCAGCTAATAGTGAGTATG